AAGAAAAGATGTCATCTTTATCAATCAAGCTAAGTACGTCAAAGATATGCTCAAGAAGTTTGGACTGGAAAATGGAAAACCTCATGACACTCTAATGAGCTCATCAACAAAGCTTGACATAGATGAAGGAGGTAAATGTGTGGATGTTAAATTATATAGGTCAATGATTGGCACTCAGCTTTATTTAACTGCAAGTAGATCGGACATTATGTTTAGTGTTTGATTATGTGCTAGATTTCAATCATGTCCTAAGGAATCACATTTACTATCTGTTAAAAGAATCTTTAGATACCTTAAGGACACTTCTAGTTTAGGACTTTGGTATCCTAGAGACTCTAGCTTTAGCTTGCATGCCTTCTCTGATGCAGATTATGGAGGATGCAAATTAGATAGGAAAAACACCTCCAGTACTTTCCAATTCCTTGGAAATATGTTGATTTCTTGGTTTTCAAAGAAACAAAATTGTGTTGCATTATCTACCACTGAAGCGGAATACATTTCAGCCGGTAGTTGTTGTGCACAAGTTTTATGGATGAAACAACAACTTTTTGATTATGGAATTGAAGTAGGTATCATTCCTATCAAGTGTGACAATACTAGTGTTATTTTTCTCACTAAAAATCCTATCCAACACTCTAGAACTAAGCATATTGAAATTAGACATCACTTCATTAAAGACCATGTCTCTAAGGAATATGTAGTTCTAGAATTTGTTGATATTTTGCATCAATCAGCGGATATCTTTACAAAACCTTTAGATAAAGAAAGATTTTGGACACTTAGGAGAGAATTAGGTTTGATCAACCTATCTTCACTTAGTGTTTAAAATAATTTTAGCACTTTTAAGTTAGATTTGAAAATGCTTATAAAATAACACTTTTGATTACATTCTTTACTATTAGTTAGAGGGAGTTTATGATCTTGGTGAAAATTAATTTTATGTTCAAATGTAGTTTAAGGATAAAATTGATTAATTGAACATAATTAATTTTCAATATATGAGTTGTGAATACCACTAGAGCTAATTAACTTAGCATTTTGAGTGTTTAAAACGGATTTTTGACATTTTTGTCCATAATGCATCGATACACTGAATAGTGCATCGATGTATCCCTTTGAATGTGCATCGATACATCATGAAGATGCATCGATGCACTCCTTGAATGTACATCGATGCACAAGGCCATGCATCGATGCATCCGTCAGGTTTTTGGATAAAACCCCTACTTTTCTTCATTTTCTCAAAACCCTTTCAAACACTCTTAGCCGCCGTTCGTCCCTTTATCTCCCAAAACTCTCCATTTACTCAAAATCAACGGAAAATAGTCGGAATCTTTGAGTTTTGCATCTCTAATTTCTTCTAACATCATTAAATCTTGCAAAACATCATCACATTCCTCTCTGTCCAAGACTTTTCAAGGTATTTTTCTAAAACCTCCTATTTTATCAAATTCTGATTTTAGAACTAGTTTAGATTAGTTCTAGGATGAATATTATATCGGGCATTGACTGTTTAGTGTTTAGAAACTATAGTTTATAATCAATTTCATCAAAAACACTAAAATTTTCAAGATTTTTCAAGAATTTCGAAATTAAAAAAATTATTCAAAAATCTAAATTTAATTTGATGTTTTTGTTCTAATTATGTTGATTTGAAAACTATACATTGATCTTTCAAATGTTGTTTTCAAAATTTTTCAAAACCTTACCCATTAGTATTCGGTTTAGAGAACCTTGAATTATTGCAGACTCAATTGAGTTTTGGGATTGATTATATTGCATACATATGTTTTAAATTTGCAGGTTACCCATCCAATTCTGATTCTTAAACCATGTCCAACCCTAAACGCCCTAGGACTTCTTCAAGTCATTCTAACCGACCTCATAATCCTATTCCTCCTCAACGTCCATATCCAAACGATCCCAATATGACTATTCTAAATTCCTGTTTTTATATGACTGGTCGTCATAGAGAAAAACTCTACCATAGGTACATGAATTCTTTCCAAACATACAAAATTCGGGAAGAACATATTCCCTCTATTCAAGCCATGGTATATATCAACTTTGAATACCTTCCGACTCTCAAATCCTGGAAGTTTGATAAACTGTTTCACCTTAAACCAATTGTATATCATCTGTTGGTCCGCATTTTCTACTCTAATGTGGTAGTATTCAAAATGAGGGTCAATGTGGGAATATAGGAATTAGATCCTACCTTTTAGGACAATATATTCATATTGACTATGACACTATAGCTAAATAGTTTGGGCTAGATGACAATGGTTTTTATAATGAGAAAGAAACTGTGGCATATCCTTATCTTCCTAATGCTAGTGTTAGTACCTTACGTACACATCACGATCGTTTTCTGCATTTAATGATCTCTTGGTGGTTTCGACCATCCAGAGGTAGGTACTCCACTCTTCGTGTCAGAGATTTATGGTGGATAAATTGTATCCAGCATAATAGAAAGATAAATTTGCCACATATCATTTTTAGTGAACTAGTAGATACCATAAAATGTAATCATATCCAAACATGTAGAAACTTTAGTTTATGGGTGTCTACTTAGTAATCTTTTTATCAAACTCAGTCTTAGAGTCTCTCTCGACAATCACATCCCTCTTCAAAACCAAATCAATCTCACCTCCTTGAAGAAAGCTGACTGGAAACAGGATGAGGAGACTGGCCAATGGGTTTATCGACCCAATATGCAAATTCCAGGAGCCAGTTCTTCACGTTCTGCTCCTAGCTCTTCTCGTGCTCATCCTCCTCCTCTGGCACCAGCTGCTGACGATGATCCCAAGCTTCAACAGCTTATGCAAGATATTGAAGATCACGTACCAGACGATGAGCCAGCGCCGGATCCAGCACAACAAGAAGATCAAACGCCTCCATATTTTCGATCTTTCCTAGAATCGTTTGATCTGAGGTTTGCTTCCATGGAGTCTCAGCTAACTGAATTTAAATGGGAGATGTGTGAATGTATGAACGCTCTCACTCTTGAAGTACTAGCACATTATCCTCCTCCTACCAACCCTCCGATGGAGTAGATCTTTACTTGCCATGCTTTCTTGAATTTAGACCTTGGATTGATAAATATTTTGCTGTTCTTGGATTGTATTTTATTTTGGATGATTATTTTTTTGGATTTATGTTTTGGATGTTTGGATTTTAGAACTTATATTGGTTTATTACTTTTTGCATCATTTACCATATATGACTAATTTTCCATTATATATATATTTATGAATATTGATTATGAAACTAATGGCTAATCTCTCTTTTGTTTGTGATCTTAGCAGCTTAAGCTATATATTTATAAATATCAATTGGCTATGTTTCAAAAAAATTTCTTCAGATGTTTTTATTAGAGTCTTTTTTATTTAACAAAAAGGGGGGGAGAAGATGTATCATAGTAAGGGGGAGTAATTTCAAAACTTGATTTCAAAATTTATTTTCAAAGAAAATCTTAAAATTACACAAATGTTTTGTTATATCAAAAATGGGGAGATTGTTGAAAATATTTTGATGTTTCGATATAACAAACTAAGTTTAAATGAATTTTAAGATTTTACAAATGATTTTCTAAAGTATATTTGATATAATTATTCGAATATCAAAATATTACTCCAAGTCTTTCAAAGTTCAATTTCAATCCTTACTAAAGTGTAAAGTTGTGTTTTATACTTAAAATATTTTTGAAACAATTTTTACAAAGTATTTCGAACAAAAAATGAGCCTAAAATCAATTTTTCAGGTAAGTGTACCGATGCATGAATCAATGCATTGATGCACCCTTGTTTTAATTGAACATCGAATGGCTTTTGTGTACCGATGCATATACCATGCATCGGTGCACTCCATATATATTAAAACATCAAATTGATTTTATGCACCGATGCACAAGCCATGCATCGATGCACTGAGGCTTTTTCAAAACATCGAAGCATATTTATGCATCGATGCACTATCAGTGTACCGATGCACTAAGGGTCCAACGGTCGAAATATTTGAATTTTTCACATAGTGTACCGATGCACTAGCCTTATGCATCGATGCAAACACTTAAACGACTCTATTAACTCCACTAATCATCCCCAACGTTCAGAATCAATTGAATCAGTATTTAAACAAGCTTAGAAGCCATTGATCAAAAACAAGAAAAAACAATCAACAAGAATCAAGAGAGAATCAAAGAGAAAGCATCAAACATCAAGTTTGAGCATTTTCAAGCCTATTTCTTTCAATATTCATTTTTGCTTTCAAGAACACTTATTGTGCTCAATTGTATTATTCTTGAGTGTTATTTCTTTATTCTAGAATTGTGCAAACATCTTGCCTTGTGAGGATTTTCTTGTAAGTTTGCAAAATTTGTATTGTTCTCTTTGGGAGAGAGCGTTCTCAAGGATTTGGGGTATAATTCTTGAGGGATTTGTAAGGTTACTCTTTTTCCTCAAAAGAAAGACAAATTAGTGAATTTGTGGAAAATCCTTAGTGTGGATAGCTAAGGTAGTGGACATAGACTTTGGTTGAGAAAGTAGAACCACTCTAAATCGCTGCGCAACTACTTTCAATTTTCTACAAAAGCTTCCGCCGAAATTTTAATTGCCAATTCACCCCCCTCTTGGCCATATTCGTCGATCGATTATCTCAACACTCTCATATTACATAAAATGGGCATTAAGATTATAATTCATATAGACATGTACTTATATCATTTCCATTGTAACCACATATATCTTTTCTTTTATCACATTTCACCTGTGCATATAGGCATCCATCTCATTTTCTGTAATACAATATTTGAATACATTCATATAGTTCATATAACATGTAATGAATCATATGTATACATATATGATTTATACATATGTAACCAAAGACTATAATGTATGCATGTTCATAACTATCATACTATGGAATTAACCTAGGAAATAGACTCATCGCAAGTCTTATTTCCATTAGATTATCCCTATATTATGCACTCACCATGGACTTGCTTGCGTTGATTCAATCCTAACTCTTCGATTGTTCCGTAACTCGTTTAGGCTCGATATCAACATAACATAAATTTTGAGACGATTTTCATAATCCTAAACCTTATAACTTGGTATTAATAATTTAAGCTAATTTAAGGAATCAAAAATTCACTTTTCATTTAAGAGTGTACCGATGCACTATGGGTGCATCGATATACCCAAAATAGCTTCAAAATTTCCATGCATCGATGCACCCCTTAATGCATCAATGCACCTTCAAAATTGACTTAGTGCATCGGTACCCATTCATAGTGTATCGATGCATCTGTCCAAAATAAGCTATTTTCACCCGAAATTCATCAATACTTCACCCAAATTTTCATGTATAAAATCCTTATTATGCTACTAAACTCATCTATAACAACTTTAACTAGTTTCTATCATTCCAACACTTTATAATCTCTCATATTTCATCCAAATTCTTAAGGCTAATAATCATACAAAATTTTCCATGTTATATAAACTTAATTCTAACACTTATAACTTCTTATTCTCATAGATGACAAGTCAAATTCAATCCTCAAATTCATTTAAACCTTCATATTCAAATATTCACTTAGACACTTCTTATCTTTAATCCTCCATAACTCAAAATTCTTTGAGTTTCTAAGTCCTTTTTTCCTTCCATCATGTTTCTAAGTCTTACTTAACCAAAATCATTCTTCAATTTTAAAGATTAACCAAAAGAAGTCAAACTCACCATAGGCTTGGGTGCTTCACGTTTGGGAGAGGAAGAAAAAGATAAAGAGAATTGTTTGGAAACATTTATTTCCTTTAATTGCTCCACATGGGAAATTAGCCTTTCTTTTAGTCTAGGAAGTGACAGTTTAGAATATATCAATTAGTATACTGATATGTATCAATGTATTACTTGTAATATCCCGAAATTCAGGGTCAGTGACTAAATTGTAAATTTTGAAAACTATGTGCTTGATTTCGAAATAAGTTAAAAGTTCATGGATTTAATAGTAAATTTGGAAAGTAACAAGGGTATTATGGTCTTTTCTAAGAGAAGATTTTTATTCTCTCTTTTTAAGGAATATAAAAACGTGGGAAATGAGGAAATCTATCCAGAGTCTTATTCTTCTCCCCGTAAGCCTCAGTTAAAGGTGAGTTTAATTTTAAATGTTTAATTCTTGGATTTATAAGTTGATTTTGGTTCTTTGAGTATTATATAAGCTTAAGGAAAGCTTATATAAGCTTTAAACATCAAGAATAGAGAATTAAAAATGAAATTATATGAAGGGTGTAGAAATGAACTTTTGTTATAGAAAGGTTTTTGAAGTTCTAAAGATGGATTTGACTTGTCAAATGATTAATTAAGAAGTTAGAGGTGATATAATTAAATTTAGAACACATGGAAAATTTGATAAAATTCTTTGATTCAAGAATTATGGTAAAATTATGAGATATGGTGAAGTGTTATAGTATTATAATAAGGTTTAAATATGTATAGATAAGTTTTAAGGTATAAGGAAGGATTAATAAGTAGAACTTGGGGGTCAAAACAAGACATTTTCGTGCTTAAAATGTAATTATGGGTAGTGTGCATCGATGTATCTTTAATGTGCATCGATGCACTCTCAAATAAATGAACATCGAATGCAATTAGTGCATCGATGCATAAGGAGTGCATCGATGCACCCCCTTAAGATTTAAAATATCGAAGGTGATTTGTGTACCGATGCATGAGTAGTGCATTGATGCACATGTTAAAGAATGCATCGATGCACTGTAGAATGTACCGATGCACTTCAATGGGAAATAGGATAAATCGTTATTTCAGTTTATGAAATTATAGATTATAGTATGTCAATTGGATACTGATAAGTATCAATACATGATTGTGTAGATATCGAGCACGAGTAGGTTCCGGAACGATTATCAAGTTAAGATTTGATCGAAAAAAAGGAAATCATAAAAGTGGATTGGAACTTAGTGAGGTCAAGGTGAGTGCATATTAGTAGTATATGATGTTAAATGGAAAAAAGACTTGCGATAAGTCTATTTCCAATAGTAAAATGCATGAATTCATAAATAGAAGTATATGTGTGTATGAATTATATGTGTTGACATGTTATGGTATATATGTATTATATGGTTGATGTGAATATATGCTATGTTATGATGATATAAACCATATGATATGATAATAAATCATATGAATATAAAAGATAAGATCTTTGAGATATATAGAAATGAAATATAACTACGTGAATACATGATATGAGATAATTTAAGTAATAATATGAAAATATGGTAAAAATGAGTTTATGAGAAATGATATGAACTGAGTAAGCATAGGTAAAGGTTACATAAATAATAATAAGGTGAGTTGGGCAAGTACATAGAAGTATAATCAATTAAGTGATAATATGAACATATATGATAAGATAGATGGGAATGATTCATATGCTTAAATAAAATTATGATACATTAGTTGTATGATAAAAGCTATGGAGTGATATGAGAAGATTATAGGAGTTATATGGAATTGAATTAAGTAAATAGATTAATTTGTATATAAAAATAGAAGTAATATATATATATATATATATATATATATATATATATATATATATATATATATATGTGTGTGTGTGTGTGTGTTTATAAGTATAATATAGGTTATGTAATGTAAGTGCATACTAAGAAATAAATAATAAGATAGATGATACGATATAAATTATATTATGAATTAGTGATGTAGGAATGCGAGATAAATATGCAATAAATCTTATGTGTTATATGATAAATATGAACACATGAGAATAAGAGATAAGATAAGTGACTTGGTTATAGAAGCTATATGACCATGAATTATGTAACTATGAGTACTTGAGTATGTATCTACGTGATGTGATACATGGGGTTCTATGAAATATTATACTATATGATTATGTGAGTATATGAAAAAGAATATAGATTCATGTAAGTTATATAGAAATGAGTTGTGTAAACATGCCTGATATGTATTACATGTATGTGAATATAAGAGATTAAAAATAAATTATACGAAAAGATATAAGTCATAGGATATGACATGTTTATAGGAATACATGAGAAGTGTTATATGCCATGAGATATATAAATACGAAATGATATGAGAATTTACATTAACTACGTGATTACATGTATATGTAAATAAAGCTACGAGTTTATATAAATATGTTATAAAAGATAATGCCCATGATTTGTGTCATTAGAGCTAGGGGTATAGTTGGCATGCCAAGAGTCGAGGGTCCACGCGGTCCTTCGGGACATATATGTATCCTTTGGAACATCTATGAGGTATTTTGAGACACATACTTGGTCCTTGGAATATGTATATGGATCTAAAGGAATTTTCTACGTTGTCTTTAAGGACATCTTATATGGCACTTCGGTGCATTTCTACACGGCACTACGGTGCAATTCTACGTGGCACTTCGGTGCATTTATACGAGTTGTGGTGACATCATTAGTGCACAACCTCAATAGATTCACATATCTATAGTTCTCATATAAGTACACAAGCTAACAAAAAGATAACTTTAAATACAATATATATATATATATATATATATATATATATATGTGTAATAGGAATAGTATGGCATGATATGTATGTTATATGTCGAGTGCACCTGTTATATGATATACATGAATATATGTTAATGTATATGTGAATGACTTATATAAGATATAGAATATGAACATAAAAGATCGTATGAATAAGATATAAGAGATATGAAGGATAATAGTATAGGAGCAGGATAAAAACATAAATGATGAGATGTATGTAATTGTTATAGGAAAGTATATGAGTGATATGATTTGATATGATATGTATGATATGATATTAATAGTTGTTCCTGCATGATTACAAGTTAGAGTTTACATTATATGTTTATTTTTGTAACACCCCAACCCGTATCCGACCCGAATAAGAGTCTGAGATGTCACATTGACTTTTCAAAACCTTTTTCTTACAAAATATCAAAACCTTTGAACTTATATTAAGAAAATATGATCATATATTGTTCAATTGTGTTTGGTATAAAATTTTGAGATAAAAACGTATTTATGAACAGTAAAATACGGTATGAATAGTACCATGAACAGTAATGAAAATTGACATGAACAGTGTTACAGTGCATCGATGCATTGCTACAGTGCATCGATGCATTGCTACAGTGCATCGATGCACCAAAATATCGAAGCCAATTTACAGTGCATCGATGCACTGCTACAGTGATTTTCGTAAAACATACATAAAACTCGTAAAAATTTAACCGTTCATTACTATACATTTACATAAATACGTTTAACATTAGAAAACTCATTCATATGATTTTACAAACCAATTAGAGCATATCGTATTCAAATCTTTATTACATGCCAACCACTATAATTATTACAAAATACATATTATTAACTTCTTTTCTGATCTGATCTTTGGAAATGAGAAACTAACTTGTCTTGTATAACTTTATCAATATTTCTCTTCTCGAAACCTACGTGTGAAACAATCACACGTTAAGTCATAGACTTCGTGAGGCATATAAAACATTTAATGAAATTCATAAAACATCTCACATAACATAATACATACATGTATATATACCAGCATTATCATGATCTCTATCATATTCATACACTATTATCATTCATATTTCTTATCTCTTGTTCATATAATCTCTAATGCTCTTATCATATATATTATGTCATTCCCTACAATTCATATCATATAGAAACATATATCATCATATAATTCTTGTAACATTTCATATCATCAAAAGCATATACATCGTATATAATATATTTAATCTCTTTATTAGCCCATGTACACTGTTGAGAACTAAAGGTATGTGAGTACACTGAGGTTGTGCAAAAATGCTGTCACCACAGCTCGTATAAATTGCACCGAAGTGCCACGTAGAATTTGCACCAAAGTGCCACGTAGAATTTGCACCAAAGTGCCGCATAGAAATGCACCGTATTGTCCATAAGGACCACATATAAATTCCTTAAGAATCATATACATATACCAAGGATCAAGTAAGTGTCTCAAAAGACCTCATACATGCTCCACATAATATATATACGTCCCGAAGGACCACGTAGAATTTGTCCCGAAGGACCGCGTAGACCCTCTACTCTTGGCATGCCAACTATACCTATAGCTCTCGTATCATATAACATGGGCATTATTCTTATGTTTCATATATTCATGTACTCATGTCATTTCTCTTGTAATCACATATCATATGTACATATAATCGCGTAGTTTCCTTTCATGTCACTTTTCATATGAATTCATATTCATATGTCACATAGTTCATATCACTTTGCATGGATTCATATAAATATATATATGAATTACATTTCATCACTTATTCTCATATCATATAACATGGTCTATCTTCTTATGTTCACATAACATATAATGCATACAAATTACATTCAAATATGCTTTTACTAAATTCATACATACTACAAATCATGTCATATCTTGTTCTCATATGTTTCCAATACATCACATATATCACTAGTGCAATTTCATGAAAACATGTAAATCATGTAGCATATAAGAATATATACTAACACACATAATAATACTCACATAACATTTTAAAAGTTACTTCTTACCATAGTAACTCCATCATTGGCTCATCGCAAGCCAATGTCTGTTCAAGAACCTAAGTACAAAATAAATTGCACTCACCTTAGCCTTGTTTTGATTCAATCTCAATTCTTTGATTGTTCCAGAATTTGTTTAGGCTCACTATCTACATAAACATAATTTCCGAGATGAATTTCATAAGCCTAAACCTTATAACTTGATGTTAATAACTCAGACTAATTTAATAAGCCAAATTTTAGCTTTTCCTTTAAGAGTGCATCGATGCACTATGGGTGCATCGGTGCACAAAATAACTTCGAAATATCCATGCATCGATGCACCCCTTAATGCATCGATGCACATACCCAGAAATCACTGTTCATTGAACGAAAATTCACTCTTTCAATTTCAATACTTCAAGTTTCATTCCCTTTCATATTCTTAACTCAAATATACATACTTAAACTAATTTATATCCATTTATCTCATCTTTAACCTCAAAAATCCATCTTTCATTTGGAAATCAATAATCATACCAAATTTTCCATTATCCAAACTTAATTCTAACACTTCTAACTTCTTATTCTCATAGATGACAAGTCAAACTCATCCTCCAAATTCATTTAAATCTTCCTATTTCAAATTTCACTTCAAAACCCATTTTCTTTAATCTGTCATAACTCCTTTATCTTTTGATTTTAAGATAACTTAAGCTTTCCTTAAGCTTAGTTATCATCTAATGATCAAAACCCAACCATAAAATCAACAAATAATTAACTAACAAAGAAACTCACCTTTGCCTTTTGGGTTTCACGTGAAGAAGAAAGAAAGAAAATGAAGAGAAGTTTTGGAGAAAATATCTCCTTCATCTTATCCTTATATCCTTATCAATCACATTTTTAATTAATTTCTAAGTCAAATGACCATTTTGCCCTTTAATTCCTTTTATAATTACCAATAACCCTTCAGAAATTATTTTCAAGTAAATCATTGAGCTTTTCAACTTTTCCACTTTAATCACCAAATTCTGAAATTTTATAATTTAATCACTAACCCATAGTTTGGGATGTTACAAATCTCCCCTCCTTTTAAGAAAAATCATCCTCGAATTTTCATTGCCCACATTGATAAGAAAATTTCTAATATTCTCATGTTGCTTCCTTTACTTAATCTTTCCTGTTCATCGTTAACATACTTATCTTTTTCTCTTACTCATTCATCTATTGTCGTTTATCATATAAACAGTAACCAATAATCTCATCCATTTCCGTCTTCCTCTCATTCGATTCTACATTTTCCTTTGACCTTTCTAAAATTCCATATAATATCTCTCATCACGTATACAATAACATCTAATCCTTACTACTCAATATTATAAATCAATTGAATTCCTTCATCCTGCTTTAATTGTTTTACACCATAACCCAAATCTTTACTCATTCCTTAATTCTTGTCAGTATTACAATACACAAAATCTTTTCATATAAACTCACGTACTTGTTCAATGAATAATCACATTTTATAATAAAATGTATTAACTTTAAATCTTCTTCAAACATACTTAAACATATACTTCATAGAATCAAACAATATTTTCACATCACCTTACACACTTTTCGTCTTTCTATATCAAACTTATCATCTACACTTCCATATAACCTTCATCACATTTGATCCTTTATACTTCATCATTTTATTTCCTTATTCCATTATTCTTTTTAAAATCAAAATCTCCATATACATATATCATATCTTTTCATTCATGTTCACATACTTTTTCCTATCTTACTTATACTTATCCCTGATTATCAATCTTCATCACATCTTAATAACTTTGATAAGTAGCTTTACTTATACAGAACCTCATTCTTTACCATCTCTTGTACTTGGTATTATTATTTTTTCTTCCTCAAAACTCTCTTTGAAACTTGTAAATACTCTTTTCTTTGCCTTCATCATATCTATATTATCCAATTACATATCCATATTCAAAACCATATCATACTTAATTAAAGCACTTTATCTTTTCTCCCAATCTTATAACTCTATCACCTTTACTATCACAGTTAGTAAATATCAACTGTTCAATCTAGGGCATGAGCCCTAATTAATTAATCATATATATTTTTTCCAACCAGAATTATCTCAACAATAGTTTACTTAACTTGTCAAATCTATATTCATTCTCATACATCAAGAAATTTTCTTTACTCACACTAAACATTTTAACATCTTCCATCTTATAAAATAATCATTAACATACTTATTTCTTAAACTCTTTCCGAAATACTATTCGCCTCAATGAATCTGCTATTATTCCCATAATAACATTTGTTTACCATATTTTAATTCAACCACATAGTAACTAAATTATTTCATCTAACTTTTTCACTTTGGAATAGTAGAGATCCTCTAACATTATCTGATTGCAAATTAAATTTCTGAACACAATCCTCAACTTTTTAATCTAGGGTACCACCCTTTTCAACTTGATCCCATACCTTCTTTCCATTGAAATTTCCCTTAACGATATCTTATGCACACATAGTATTATTCATCTATTTCAAAATCAAACGTTGTAACTTTCTTTGTCTTATAAACTGTTCAATCTACATACTCATTCTTAAACTTTTCTATTACTCTTTATATTCTCTTGAACATTCAAATCCTTATCTCCTTCACTACATCGCATCACATAATTAAAATATACATTGTATTCGAATCCATTTCATATTTGGCTATCATAACCTGACAATATCTTATAATTACAATACCTTTCCATCACATAATTTTGTCAGCCATTGATAACTCTTTCCATCTATAATGTAAATCCCTTATCATTTCCACACTCTTGCTTATACACAATACTATTTACACGTCTACTATTCCTTTTTACATATCATCTCTTTAATAAATCTTTCGTGCTATCATAAACTTCACTTCATTACTTTAATTCTTTCATTACCTTTTTCCTTATGATTTTATATTCCTTTCATATCATTTATACTTTTCCTTCTTTATCCTTTTAACTTTTCTATCAATCCTTAGTTTCCGTAAAACATACAAATCCTTTAACTTAATACACTCACTATCACACTACTTTATTATTCAACTCATTTCTTTCAATCAAAACATAAACCTTCATCAAACTATCCATATATTTATTCTTCTCAATCAAAATAATTCATTCACTATTTCCATCACTTATCAAACCTTTATTCTCATTCGTCCATAATAAAATTCATTTGGTTCAAATTCAACATTCCATATACCTTTGTCTTATAATCGATCGCTGATATTCATATTCTTAAACCATTCCTTGGTCTTTATCCCTTTATCCTTTTATAATCTGCATTGTCTTATACATAACTAAACCATATCATGTCCTTCATACTCCCATGCTCTTATATATATTTCACATACTTATCCTTAACTATCACTCCTTATCACACTTTTAGGACTTCGATAGTCAACTTTACTTGCACAGAACCTTATTCTTTATCATTCTTATATTTTATCCACTTGTTTCAACAATCACCAAATTTCAATACTCATCTAATCCATTTAAAATACTTTTTCTGCTTCAATTTTCATAACTTCTAACAGAGCTTTTAACCTAATTTGAAAAGGTTGTCTTTAACCCTGACTTATTATCAATTAACTCCTTGTTTAATCTTTCAAGATCAAACCCTACTGCTTGAGTCTGTCAGACTCTCATATGATTTAATTCCCTGGCGGATAATACAACTAATTCACATTTGGTTTAAAGTTGAAAACCAAAATTCTCTATCTTATTTGATGGTGCTTAACTCTATGAAGCACTAATTCTCTTAATCATCTGAAATTTTTGTTCTCCACTCCTTTCATTCTGAGCTCTCTATAGAACTTTTACACAATTAATCATTTCTTGAAATGAGAAAATTTCAAAACCAATAACATCTTTTTTTTAAGGCGCCAGCCCTAAACAACCAATCACATGTATCCTTTGTATCTTTCTTAATCAGAATCAACTCAACAATAAATTTGTTTAACTTATTAAACTTACACTCATACACATACATGTGTAATTCCCTTTCTTCAAACTCATATATTCGATCTTCATTTGTCTTATGTGCTGGTCATCGATTTACTTATTCTTGAATTCTTCTACAAACGATAACCGCGTCACTTGGTTTTTTTTAACGTTCTTATGGTGACATTTGTCCATCATATTTCTAACTTGCCCACATATTAACGAAACTTATCAATTTAACTTCTTCACTTTGAAGAAATGAAAACCTTTTAACATTATCTTAATATCATTTATTCAAAGGTCTGTAACAACAGAACCTTCCTCAAATTCACCTTTGAGCTAGGGTGCTCATAACTCTTTTAACTATTTCGATACATTCATTCTATAAGTTAACGAAGTATACTATTGAAAAAACATCAGAATATCATTCAACATCATGAATAATTCTCTAATCTTATACAGGCATTCCCTGAGGTTTTCGCTCTTCTCCCTGCCTGTCCAGGGCAGGTGAATGCTATTACCTTCAGGTCTTTTGCCTTGTGCTTAACTTTGGAAGCTCTCATATATTCATGTGCTCATATCATTTCTTCTATCACATCTCACATGTGCATATGATCATCCAATCCATATCATATAACATATGTCATTTGCATATGTTCACATATCATCTATCATATCATATAAACATATATATCTCATAAATCATTCTCATGTATTCACTTATCTTATATAACATAACAATTTAACTCTATTTACAAGACAGTATACTCCTTACACTATCAGATCATAAACTTTTTCACTTTATGTTGGCATGTATACTTTTTAAAACACTTTTGACTTCGTTTTTAGCCTAGAATCGGCTAAACCGTAGCTCTGATACCATTAAATGTAACACCCCAACCCGTATCCGACCCGAATAAGA